AGAGAGAGAGGAGAGAGAGAGAGAGAGAGAGAGAGAGAGAGAGAGAGAGAGAGAGAGAGATTGATTTCCTATTCTTGTATCTTGGGCAATTCTGTGACTACATATGTCTTGTTGAATTTCTCAAGTACAAGCACAGGGTGACGGTCTATGCTGAAACATGGAAGGGGCTTTGAACAGTGAAAGCTGGTATGATTACCCTGGATCTTCATCTAGAAGGAACTGTGTGTTGTCACCTCAGAAGATACAGACACGGGGAAGTCTGGAGGAGAACCTGCAAAGCACAGATGAATTAACCTAGGTGAGGATTTGCAAAGCACTGCCCCCAGCCAGCCTTTCCGGGGCTTGGGTAGTTGACAGCATGGAGAAGCTACAGAATGTGAGAGAGGGTAGTGGTGGAGGTGGGGGAAACAAGCCACCCGATGATGGAGAGCACGATGCTCACTGCCTCCTTGACATGGGCTTCTTCAGCTGATTAGGGGGACTTTGGGGGAGGCCCTACTTTGGCAGTAGACCCTGGGGCCGGAGGGCCAGAGAGTAGTTCTGATCAGGGTCTCCGTACCTGTTTCCACCAAGGAATGCATCATTCCAGCACTGGCCAGTTCTTCATTTCTCTAAAGCCCCCACACAGTGCCCCTCCTGTTCCATGCTATTCTGATTCTGGCTACCCAGAGGTAGCGAGGATGCCCTGGGTTCTGACTGCACACTGCAAACCGTGGTTTTCCACCCAAACAGTGCTAATCTGCAGCTCCTCATGAGCCCTCGATTTCATAGTTTCTCAGAATAACTCCCCAAGTCAGGAATACTTTTTATTCACTAGATAATGGTTTGCTACAAAGGACACAACTCAGGACAGGCCAGATGAAGAGCTGTGGGAGAGAAGGTTGGCAGAGTGAGGAGCCCCTGTCCCTTCTCCACCTACTCATCCTTCTGGAGCTCTCTGAACTCTGGTGTGGGTCTTTGATGGAGCCTACGGTGGTCCGGTCAATGCCGTCACTGGCTACTGTTGATGGGACCTTCCCAGCCCTGTCTGCTCTGGAGATCAGGGGAGAGGCTGAAGGTTTCACACCTCTAACCCCTCAGCTGACTTTTCTGTAGTTGGGTTCCACCCCCACACTAACAGGGCCCTGATCTCTAGTCATCTTGCTAGCACACAAAGGAGAGTCAGTTCCAAGGATTCAGAAGCTCTGTCACAGGAGCCCCAAAGGCCAATGTCAATCTCCTTTTAAACCTCAGGGCACTTGTGATTATCTTCCATAAAGAGTCAAACACATTTTCTTCCTTTAGCATATCCCCCATACCCCAATACATACCACATGTACCACAAATATCACACATATAAACACACATAGCACACCACATCATACAGTATGCCCATATCATATACAAACACATATATCACACACTATATACACATACTCATACATCACTCACTACAGATACACTACACAAACATATATATTGCACCACACATATCAGAAACATAGATATATACACCATGCAAACACACAATCACACACAAGTTTACTACTACTACTACTACACACACACACACACACATCACATACTACACTCACAAGCACACACAGACACTACTCATTACAAATACACTGCACAAACACACATTATGCAAACACACCCAAGCACAACACACTACACCACACACTACACACTGCACAAACACCCACATCTCACACACACATTCTCATGGTACACATACCACATGGACACAGTGTATATGAGTTATTGTCTCTGAAGACTGGCAACTTCTTTCTGAAACATGAACTGTGAGAAGAACAGTTCCTGGAACTCCTGGTTGGCCTCAAGGATGACGTCAGGGGACAGAGTAGGAGTGTGGTGATGGGGACAAGGTGCTGTAGTCACTTGGTGTTGGCAGATGACCGTCATGAAATGAACTTCCCCCACCCCCGAAGGATGTGGCAGTGAGTCAAAGGCTCACTGTGGGTCCAAATAGGGTTGTAACATGCAGGCCGGGTTCCATTCTGCAAGCCCACAGCCAGGTCCAAATATAAAGCCATCTCTATCAAAATCTGTGTGGTGCGAGCCGGCAGAGGGGAAGTGGCTTGAGGTTGTCTATCAAGTTGCAGTGACCACAAGACCCAAGTCCCCAGTATTGCCCCACGAGAACTCCTTTCTCGCATGGTATCTATATGTGAAGAGCTCACATTTTTCTCTAGGACCACAATTCCAGCAGTCAGTGCTCTCCAGAAAAATAGAATAGATACATGGATGCACACACCTGTAACCAAACACACCTGCCAGGAGGGACTGACTCGTTCATGGAGATAACGATCCACATCCAACGCTGTGGAGTTAATGGACCAACTCACGTCTGAGGCCATTTCACTGCTGATTCACAGCTAAAGACAATCAGCAGTGAGTGCTCTCTACCTAGGGAGAGTGGCCCTTTGTCTTCAGACAGTCTGTTCATACCCAAGGGACTGGACGGAACTTCTCCACACAGACCAGCCCTCTGCTGGAGCAGTCAAATGTTCTTCTCACCCAAACACCCCCACAAGCATGCTAAGAATGATGCCCAGAGAGTCTCTGGGTACCCCAAGGCTCAGTCTAGAGGCCACAGAACAATCAGACACCTGCTGGCATCTCCACAGAAAACACTTCTTCATTTCCAGCCAGCACTGTGTGATCAGGCCACACTTTCACCTAAAAGTCTCATGCCTTCTGACACACTTATCCAACCCCATCTTTTCAGGGATGCTCTCAGAACAAGAATTCTCTAACTCCTCCATTCCTGCTGAGCTTGTCAACTGGCTTTCTCTCATCAGCCAACAAGACACAGGGAAGACTTTTAGTCAATAAACCTGAAAGGAGAGCTACTTCTCTTGGGAGATGCCGAGAAGTCTGTCTGTAGTGGAATCTATGGGCCTAGAGACCCATTGTGGGAGCTGAGTGTCTGAGCTTAAAGTCCAGATACAAACAGCAGGGATAAGGTTTCTAGCACAGTAGACAGAGTAAAGGTCCATCACAGCAGACAGGCAGGGGTGAGGCAGGACCTCCATCACAACAGACAGGCAGGGGTGAGGCAGGACCTCCATCACAGCAGACAGGGGTGAGGTCGGACCTCCATCACAGCAGACAGGGGTGAGGTCGGACCTCCATCACAGCAGACAGGGGTGAGGT